TGAACGCTCTCATATCCCTTTGACAGTTAACCATATTTTGATTGAGTGCAAGCATTTCAAGGATATATGTGACCTGCCGCATCTAAATGAGTCGAAATGCGCGAGAATCAATAATGAGATAAAGACAAAATAAGTGAAAATATTGATTTTGAACGAAATTGAGATTTTCACAAAAATGAGTCTATAAATATACTATCTATTGACACAGAAGATCAAAATAGCAATAAAACATTTTAAAACACCTGTATTTGAACGTTTTGTAAGTGTACCGTATTCTTAAATCTGTCCTATTTCTTAAAATTCTCTGCGAAATTAGTTTTTTTTCTTCGCTCGCAGTGGGACGACCGGTCATTCCTCTTGCATAACCATTGACATCGTTGTAAAGCGGAGCATCTCTAGTTTATAAATATGATCAAAATATTGTCGAATTTATTTTGAACAGATACAATCGAGTTTTAAAACACTCCAAAAATATAAATAAACTCCGCCTGTTGCCATGCTGTCCACACAACTTCTTTGCTGTTGAGTGTTAATCGAAACTACGTGGCTGATGATGTAAATTAATCGACAAGCGGGTGTGTGTCATTGAGTAATACTATTACTAATCAACTGTCACGGGTCAATGATAAAGTCATCGACAACTCATTATTTACTCCGAATAATTAATCCAAGCGTTGATTGTTTGGTTTCTAATATCATCTTTAAAAAAATAATCTATAGGCCTTAAATGGAAATAAAGAAAATGGCCAATAATGTTCATTTCGAAAAGAATTTTATTGATAGCTGAATTCTGTTTACCGTCGCTTCTTCATTCGGCATGAAAAGTATGGAATGCATTTGGGATATTATTGTTTAAAATTCTCTTTTCACAATGGGTCAAAAAATGAGAACAACCAACAAGCCGAAATGCGACGATTCTCGAGTCTGCCATTGAGTATCCTCTGAATAATGTTGATATTTACATCAAAGCCAAAATGCACGAAAGTGAACGTAAGCATTGACTATGAAATTGACATTTCTATAAGGACTCATATTTTGATAACGTCACGGTACCTGAAAATAATAATAGACCCTATCGTACACGCAATATCTTATTTTAATTCACCTGTTACATGAACACGCATAGAGCTGTTGCGGCTTCTTTGATGATTATCCAATCAACAATCTTAATCTCCCGTCCACTAGCTGGTGCTAATTAATTGATGAGATTAAGATTAAGTTAATCTTACTAAAGTTATATTATACACAACAGACTACTAATGTATAGATTGTTCTTCAGTATAACACTATCATGTGAATATTATGCTGTATGTGTTGTGGATGTTTCGTTACGAAAGGAGTGCATTTATTACGATTTTCGTCATCAGCACCCTTGAAATCCTAAATAAAAAACATATTAAACGACAAAATATAGCAAATAAATTGCGGAAATAGTCGGATCAAATTTTTACTACGATTTTCGTCTTCAGCACCCCTGAAAACCCATGGAAAGATATATTCAACGACAAAACAGCAGATAAATGGCCTGGTTGCTATGGGATTTTGTTTTGGAACATACCAAATCTTTGACTTGCTTTTTCTCAAAACTTACTTTTGTGAGTTGGGTAGCTTCTAATGGACACAGCTCAGTCAATTTTTGCCCAATTGAAACAAACTATACATCAAATTGAAGGTAATGAGTTGGAGAATGTGAAAATATCAATAACTCAATTTTCAAAATTTCCTCATTGTGACTCAGTATGCTGTGGGGGTCACATATGATTGGATTTTTACTGTTGTCAGTCATTGCATTACATGTTTGCCCAACCGGGTTTATACGATAAAGTGTTAGACTTTTTAAAAGAGACAGGAATTTATCATAAATTTTAATTGTATGTATATATATATATATCATTTCATTTTTGTATTTAAAGATGGGTTCCCAGAAAAGTATTTATCGGGTAGTTATTTTCAATAAAAATATGGTAATTTTGGTATATATGGAAAGTAGAGATATCCAATCTTACTAGAAAAATACTGGATTCCCCGAAAAACACTCATGGAGCGTATACAGGACAAAAATGTAAGGGTTCCCCTAATCAACCGCCCGACGATTAGGAATTTCTGCATGCGTGATGTCAAAGGTCACACGCGAACATTGAGCGCTTGATGTACAAGTTGATAAATTTTATGAAGAGTTAGATGCACAACACTTTCTGAGATAAAAATGACGCAAAAAGACGCGGGTAGTGGATAATCCGAGAATTTAATTAGGATTCGATATTTGTAATAAATAGTAAGCGATTAAAGACAACATCGTCTGATGTATGCAATGAATTCTCCTCTGACTTCCAAGAGAGGTAAGTCACGTGACGTAATTATGACCTGGTTTGATCAAATTTTTATAGCAGGACATTCTTTCGCAATTACAATATTTAAGAAGGATTTGAAGCAAAGTTATGACAAATTAATTAGTTTGAATATGTTTTTAGTCCATATATACCATTAAATCACCCAGTTTGTACGCGGGAACCCATCTTTAATATTTATATGCATAAAAGTTGTATTTTATTTTTAATTTTACTAACTGTGATATTGTTTTTATTTATGCATATAATGTTTTTCTGTGATATAATTTAGCCTGTCTCATAATATTCACCATATGTTTGGCGCAATATAGCCCGGTTGGAGCTGACGTGCTATAAAACCACATTTCATTTCATTTTGTCATTCGAGTGTTTACAAGGTTCAACAAAGTAAAACAAGGGCCATAACTCTCAAAGGATTTTTCGTTTCACTAATTTAAATGATGCATATAAATTTCATACAGATCTGATAATAACCTTTGTCGTTTGAGCGTTCACAAGGTTCAACAAAGTGAAACAAGGGTCATAACTTAAGAAGTAATTGACGGAAATTGATGAAATTCAATAGGCTTCTTTGTTTCACTAATTTAAATGATGTATATAAATTTCATACAGATTGAATGATAACTTTTGGGGTTCGAGCATTTACAAGGTTCAACAAAGTGAAACAAGGGTCATAACACTAGAAGTAATTGACGGAAATTGATGAAATTCAATAGGCTTCTTTGTTTCACTAATTTAAATGATGTATATAAATTTCATACAGATTGAATGATAACTTTTGGGGTTCGAGCATTTACAAGGTTCAACAAAGTGAAACAAGGGTCATAACACTAGAAGTAATTAACGGAAATTGCTGAAATTCAATAGGCTTCTTTGTTTCACTAATTTACATTATGTATATAAATTTCATACAGATCAGATGATAACTTTGGTCGTTCACAAGGTTCAACAAAGTGAAACAAGGGCCATAACTCTAGATTTAATTAACAGAAATTGCTGAAATTCAAAAGGCTTCTTCAATCCACTAATTCAAATGATGCATATTCATACAGATCGGATGATAACTTTTGTCGTTAGAGCGTTCACAAGTTTCAACAAAGTGAAACAAGGGCCATAACTCTAGAAATAATTATTGGAATTTACTGAAATTCAATAGGCTTCTTCGTTTCACTAATTTAAATTATGCATATAAACTTCATACAGTTTGGATGATAACTTTTGTCGTTCACATGGTTCAACAAAGTAAAACAAGAGCCATAACTCTAGACATAATTAACAGAAATTGCTGAAATTCAATAATCTTCTTCGCTTCACTAATTCAAATGATGCATATAGATTTCATACAGATCGGATGATAACTTTAGTCCTTCACAAGGAGCACACAAATGAAACAAGGGCCATAAACTCCAGAAGAAATTAACGGAAATTAAATAGGCTTCTTCATCTCACTATGTAAACAACATATATCAATTTCAAAACAATCAGATGATAAATGTAGCCTGTAGAGTGTTCACAAGAAATTGTGGATGATGTATGGACCAACAGACGGATGGACGGGGGCGATGGCAATATACGACCACTTTTCTATGTGGGTGTATAAAAATGGCTGCTATTTGATGTAGACTAATAACTTATAGGTTTATTGACCGGAACGGGTTAAAGGATGTTGTTTTCGATGCCTTCATGGGAATCCAGTTTTCAGGCATTAAAATTAAAATGGATAAAAATTATAGATTGTTATGATAAGAATTTACACTTTCACAACCCCCATGTGACTAATTAACTAACATTTTAACATGTTTGGCATATGACTTTAAGAAATAAAAACAAATTAAGTTAATTTCGCTAAATAAGACACCCTGTCTAAATACTTGACTAAAGTTAATTCCTCTTCTTCATGTCTACTTTTTAATCCCTGGGGCTGGCTTTGGGCATATTTATGTCTCTTCCTAGGTGGTTCCTGGCCCCTAGCATACTGTACGATTCTAATTTCATTAATATTTTGCTCTTATTGTAAAAATGCGATCATTTAAAAAAAAATTTGAATGAGCTTTAACAAATAGCTTCTTGATCCTTGAATGCCATCCTTCCAGAATGTTGTTGGTTCTGTGTTCCTCTGTGTGGTAGTGGTTCCACTTATGAGTAGCACATTCACCCTCGCTTGTTACGCAGTCAGCCAATTCAGTTATGTTTGGATCTGATTGAGAGTGAGCGAATATGTGAACACTACTTGGATGATATGATGATATTCATCATTAGTTGCCAATTGGTGATAAGATTCATATTCAATACTTGGATGATATGATGATTTTCATCATTAGTGAACATAAATTCATAAAATCTTCAACACCCTTAATTGGGTCCTAATAACAACATGCCTCTCTTCAAATGAAAGCCAACAAGTCCATATCTGTGCCTTCATGGGAAGGATTAATTTTGGTCACGCTCTGTAACGGTGCCATCGTGGGAATACACAAACTTATAATGTTTGGCCCAATAGTTTTTAGATTAAAGGAACTTAAGAATCAAGCAATGAACTGTTCTTGTTTTCAAAACTTATGATGTAAAGAAGGCTGTAATTCTAACAGTAAGTTACTTTTCAATAAAGAATTGTCAAATGTGAGTAATTATCAATAATCTTGTATTTTTAAGGAACAACATGGATGGAAGAAATTGTATACTTGATTATGAATGATTTGGATATAGTAAAAGCAAGAAGTAAAATTATTGAGGAAAGAATACCATTTTTTGAATATGCATATCCAGGATTTAAAGCTGTGACTGCTATGGAATCGCCAAGAATTATCAAATCTCATCTGCCTATGTCATTTTTACCCAAACAGATTAAAGATAAGAAACCAAAGGTTTGTTAACATATTGGGGTTATATTTTATTCAATTATGTGATCCTTGTTAGTCTCAAAAAATCTACAGATATTTGATGAATGATGCATGTACTTTATTAGAATTTTTAAGCAATTATATTCTTATCTCTTTCTGGTTTCGATTCCCCACTTGTACATGACAAGGAGTAGGGTCACCTGCCTAAGCTCATGGATTTTCTCTGGGTCCTCACATTGTTAAAAAAAACCTATGTGCAAGTGAATTATTAAAATAGAATTGAACCATATGTTAGTCCCAAAATGACCTAGTTTGTTTTTTCTCTTTCATAGAATTGAGACTTTCTTTTCAGATTGTCTATGTTGCAAGAAATGCTAAAGACACTGTTGTATCATTTTACCATTTCTTTAAGATGCTAAAACTTATCAATTATTCTGGTAATCTCAATGATTTTGTTGATGGTTTTTTGGATGACAAAAGTAAGTACTAGTATTATTTTTGTACCTTGCCTTTCAAAGAGGGCAGTGGACTATTACAAAGGGTCTGTCTGATGTCACACTTTCTGGGACACAATTGAGCTGGAATGTTCAAGCTTGGTGTAGGTGTTGATTAGGTGAATATCTTGACTGAGTTTAATGAAGAACATTTTCTATTGGTTGATGCTTTGAGACATGGTAACTTTGATCCTAATTAAGCGAGTGATCAAACTTGGTGCATAGTTTCATTACATCAGTACCTTGACTAAGTTGGATATTGAGCATTTTCTGTTAAGGGTAAGCAGAGTGATAAGCATTTTGATTGGTTGATGCTTTTGGACATAATAGGTAGGTAGAGAACTGTTCAGGTATGGTCTCAAGTACTCCCATAACGAAAGCGGCCATTATCGGTCTTGGGGAAATTTGCATAATTAACATAAATCTAAGATGGCCACCAGTGGACCAGAAAATCGACGAAATCTCCGAAACGGTTGACTTTAGTGCAAATAAATGTATTACCGACCTATAAGAAATTGATACTCGCGAATTCAAAAATGCTGACAGTTTTTTTCCTGCGATCTTATTGTAACATCATTTTGACGGCATTAAGTCGTTGTCTTTGTGACATCGTTATCATTGGCGTGCACATTAAGGTTCCCTGGACAGTTGGAATTTGATATAAAAGTAGGCCGTACTGCCGCTGTCTGGACAAAATTTTCCTTATATAGCACACTGTATGGTTTAAGCCAGTCTTCATTAGCCGGAGCAAGAACAGTAGGACGTTAAACCCTATTTCATTTCATTTAATCTATGGCCATCCAATAAAAGCCGATAAGAATAGTCTACCTACTTAGAATATGAAAACAAAAATATATAAAATCGGCAGCTTATTATTTATTTCCAGAATATAGAAATATCAATGAAATAAATCACATCTGATGTTTCCAGGGCCAGCTTATGAGAACAAAACTTTAAAAAATAGAAAATATCGCCCACATCTTCAAAGGTATAACTTATCACCACTTATCACCATATCCGTAAATTTACCACACTAAGCAGCGCAAGCCAAACCATGCTTACAACAGCTACATCACTTGGAATTACAGTCCTCTTTGCAGTTACAACGTATGATTTTCAGCAGTGATTCAGGCACTTTGCAACGTATTTTTCGTTCGAAAGTTGTCAACCTCAATGTTCTGGATGTATTTCTGTGGCAGCGTTAGTCCAGGTTTGAATCTGCTGGTACACTCGGTAGCTGTGATATTCTGCAGCATCTTCAGTTGAAGTAGAGACTGTATTTGTATAGGTGAGTAGAGAGAGATGGGGTTTAACGTCCACTCGACACAAACTAGGTCATTTCGGGACTAACATAATATATGATTCAATTTTGTTTCAATAATCCGCTTGCGCGTAGGGGTCTTTAGCAGTGGGAGGAAACCAAAGGACACGCAGAAAACACATGAGATTGTCACGTACAGCCAGGGAATCGACACTACACCAGTTGCCTCAATGACAAACCTTATGATACAACACACACGCACTAACCATTCGGCTATCCAACCCCCTGTATAGGTGAAGAACTTTCTCTGACCACTTCCTTCAACGCAATATGTTTAAACTTTCTTCATCGTCTTTCCTACCATAAATCAGTACTGTCTCACCTGCATCAACAATCTCAGATCCTGTAGCTGAACTCTTTGTTAATATGTGACCAAAATGACGTAACTGTGATGATAAGAGTGGGAAGGGAAGGGAAGGATTTGACACATTTCTGTTCCAAGCTTGGTTATGATGCTACTATGTTTATGGATTGGTGACCAGATTTCATAATTAGAATCCAAGACTCCAGATTACCAGTGTGATGACATAGCGATATTAAAACATCTGTATCTTCTGCCAGGACCTGCGTTGGCCCGTAGCGTGCCAATTCTACTGCTGTTGTAAGTATTAAAACATCAGTATCTGCTCGTACTTCCTTAACTTCGATATTATGTTCCCTCATCACTTCAGCTAGAAGTTTAATATTAGACTTGTTTACTTCATTTGATAAAAAAAATCAAGTCCAATAACCTCTGTGGATCTTATACTGCCTTTGTTTCCAAGACAGTGTGTGGTGTCCTTAGTGGATGGGGCCATTATAGTTATAGCTGTCGAAAACTACGACCGGATGGTATGTTGTAGAATGTGGCTTATTTATTGCAAAGAAATTTTCCCAAAAGTTGTATCTTTCTCCCAGTTAACGTAGCCATGGAATAGTGAATATTCATCGCATTAGTGCATCAGCAAGTTGTGAATTTGACCAAACTCATCGAATAGAGAACTGGGTGACTGACTAGTTCATATCCAATGTCATCGATGTCAGCAGGATTTTGTCACATGCAATCAGCCTGCTTAGCTTTTGCGGCATTATTTATTCCATTTGTGCCCGGCTGTGTGATAGAAATGGTTTCAGCGCCATTAGCTAATGGCGTACTACATCAATATGCCTCGATTCTATTGAATACTAAAACGTTTCTTAATTGACTCAGAGCATTTAGTTTTAGACTACCTGTTTTTAAACGCCCACATTTTCATGTGGACGTATTATGCCGTCGCCCCTGTCCATCCGTCCGTCCACAATTTGTTTGTGGACACTCTAGAGGTAACAATTCTTATCCGATTTTGACGAAACTTGAAATATAGGTTTATCTCCAAAAGATCTCGGCTGCTTTCGATATTGGCATGTATCGGACAGTAAGTTCATGGATGATGGCCCTTGATTGTATGAAAAATCACGGTTCCTTTCGATATTCGTGCATATCGGACCATAACTTCCTGAATTATGGTCCCTGATTGTACGAAAAATCGCTTTTTTAGCTTGTGGACCCTATAGAAGTCATAATTTTTATCCGATTTAAAAAAACGTATTATTATATCACCGTTACACCCTAAGGATGACTGAGTTTGAATTTCGTGAAAATCGGCCCAAAATTGACAGACAAAATGGCCGCTGTTCGTTCTCAAGTAGCGTAAAAATATGGTATATCAAGGTTGTGGACCCTATAGAGGTCACAATTTTTATCCGATTTTGTTGAAACTTGAAATGTAAGTTTATAACACAAAGATCTCAGTTCCTTTCGAATGTAATTACCTGAATTATGGCCCTTGATAGTAGGAAAAATCACTTTCTTGTTAGCTTGTTCTCTATCCATCTCTCGAAAATGTGGGCGTATCCTGCCTGGCAGCCGCTGGTTTTGATACATTTCACCTATGTGGTTGCTTGTATAATTAAATTTTACTACAATATGCTTACATCCATATTTCTTGTAATATATAGCAGATCATGACTCATGCTGGAATTACACAATGGTTTCTGTGGGTTATATTCTTGATTGTTTTCAAATTTGAGTGAAGTCTGTGTCACTACAGGCCAGGTAAGCGAGCCAACATCTTACCCATTGAACCATCGTAGGTCCCGGCTATAGATGAACGATGATGTATAGTTTCAGTTTGGGTCAAGATGTGTTCTTATATAGAAATTGTACAGCAGTCTGTGGTTTCCAGCAGTTTTCTGAGTGCAGTTACATTAGATTTTGATAATGATGTCACAATGAGAACGACGTAATGCCATCAAAATGACGTTATGAGGAAATAATTAGGTCGTAGATAAAAAATGTTGGCATTTTTGAACTCGCGAGTATCGATTTCCTATAGGTCAGTTTCAGAGATTTCGGTGACCCTCTTGGATTTATGTTAATTATGCAAATTTCCCCAAGACCGATAATGGCCAAAACTGAACAGTTTCCAAAGAAATGATTTCTGTTGCAGTTTGTTCTAGGTGCATTTTTATCTATACCCGCCTAAAGTGAGAGTGATCAAACTTGGTGAATAGTTTCATTAGAGCAATACCTTAACTAAGTCAGATAATGAATATTTTCTGCTCAGGGTAAGCAGAGCGATAAGCAAATTGATTGGTCGAAACTTTTGAACACAATAACACTCCTAATTGAGCAACAATGTTCACACTTGGTGTAGGTCTTTATTAGGTGAATGCCTTGATGGAGTCCAAAAATGAGAATTTTCTGCTAATGGTAAGCAGAGATAAGCAATTTGATTGGTTGATGCTTTGGGGCACGATAACTTTATTTCTAATTAAGTGAGAGTGATGAAACTTACTCTGAGTATAGATTCATTATATCAATACATTGACCAAGTTTGATGATGAAAATTTTCAGCTTAGGCTAAGTAGCATTAAACAATTTGATTGGTCAAGAATTTGGAACATAGCAACTCTGCTTTTAATTGAGGTAGAATGTTTAAATTTGATGTTGATTTTCATTAGGTGAATGTCTTGACTGAGTTCAATGATTAACTTTGACTTTGATTCTATCTGATAGAGAGTGATGAAACTTAGTGTATAGTTGATAATCGGTTTGATTGCTCGATATTTTTGAAAAAGATAAACGTGCAATTAATTAATATGTGTCATCTATTTATTTCGGGATTTCGGCGGGACACATCAGCCTCACTGTTGGCTTAAATTTTTTTAACTCTGGCCATCATTACATGTATGTCCAGGTAGAATTAGAGCATAGTTAATTTGAGGTCCCAGCCATTATAGATTAGCCAGAAGCCTAATCAAAGTCAACTCTGTAATTGTTTCATAAATTATTGAGATCTTTATTTACACAACAAGCACAAAATCAACTCTGTAGACCCACGGATGGCTTGGATTCGTCTTGGATTTAAACAGGATTTCATTGATTGATTAAATTTTTAAATGGTGTCGTAAGCGGAGATTAACCGTTACGTTGACGTCATACTCCCGGAAATTTTAGATCAAGGCTAAATGATAAGAGTGTACGAAGCGAGGCCGCTGTTGAGCAAGGTTGCATGTCAGTCAATTTGATTGAAAGTTCAATATATACAGCCTTGATATAATGTTTAGTTGTGGTTAAAATGAGAGTTTGGATGTTGATCGGTATTATACGTTCTTTTGTCACTTGCGTTTACAGAAAAAATTA